TCAGTGATTGGAGTGGCATTAAAAATAAACTAGCTAAACCGTTGATTCTGGGCGAATGAGAGTTAGAACTAGCATCCAAAGGCGTGTCTCTATCCCATNAAAATTATATCACATTACAATGCGTTGGGCGTGCCATTTTCTATCGCTTAGTCGAAGAATTTTATTACTACTCCTACTACTCATTCAGTGATTGGAGTGGCATTAAAAATAAACTAGCTAAACCGTTGATTCTGGGCGAATGAGAGTTAGAACTAGCATCCAAAGGCGTGTCTCTATCCCATGTAGCGCCCTCTAGTGAGTGCGCGGTTAAAATTGAATACTCACAATGTAGCAGATTCATTGAAAGTTAGCTCACTGAGTTTCTCGCCGGATCTTATATTATTGTTATTTTAATATTAAATTATTATTGTCGATTTATAATTGCATAAGTTGATAAAAAATGATGTGCATACATATATGAATAGCTTTACCGCGGCAATCTCCGAGTGCCACACGTCTTTTTTTTTACTCAATCACGACTTTGGCGCCTTTTTTATGAATATTCAAATATTTTATCTAATTATCTAATTGTCGGACTAAAAATATATAACATCACTTCCACAAACTGGCTTAAATTTGTCCCGATCGTAAACAATATTTGTTTTGTGAAGTGTAGCATACACAAACATTCATTACTGTTCAAAATAAAATGAAATATTCATGTAGTTAAGTCCCGAATTGTCCAAATCGACAAATGAATTACGAATTCTTTCTATAAAACATGTGGATGTGAATAAAATGAAAGTTTCTCGGACATAATACGACTTCGCACGAAAAAATAATTACATTAAAAAGTTTTCTTAGGAATCTATTGAAGTCGTAAGAAATAAATAGTTTCCCAGATTTTCTGAATTTATAGAAAGAAAGGTATATGTTAGTTGCCTCAAAAATCTGTTTTGGTTTCATATTGACTGGTGGGCGAATTCACGGTACCTAACCTAACAAAAATCCCAACTTCTGCCCTAGCAAAAGCAGTGCTTCGCTGTATCTACCACTGCATCGGGATCGCAGTCTACTGGGAAGTTGCGGTGAGAAGCTGAATCGGTTGTGTCTATGGGTTTTTACTCGATGACATCATAATCGATAAGTGAAAGCTAGAATCAAAAGACAAAGTATCTTCCAAGCAGATTTCAATGACATTCCTAATACAAAAAAAAGCATCTGCTAAATCGACTGACTGTCTGAAAAACTATGGAAATAATGAAGACGCAGGGTGAGTGACGCAAATTGAGATCCGATTTCAAGACGCCGTCATCTATATACGTAAGCAATTCTAAAACGTCCCATCGCCCCACAGATGTGAAATAAACGAAGAATTCTCATTATCAAGTCGTGGTGTGGACCGGAATGTACACCATTGTGTTAATAGGGGCGGATATCAAATACCTTTCAAGTCGCTTAAATCGAGAATCCCGAATGTGGAATTCGATTTACGCTCGAGTTCCTTTAAGGACCCCGAATTGTTTTAGGATAGCAATGTTTCCCTTTCGAAACGTTTGCGCGGTGTGCGGTTGTCCAAGAGAATTGCTTTTGGATAGTGATCCGTTAATTTGAAATCGTAAACGAAAATCATAAGATGAATTTGAAGTCGTCTGATAAGTCTAAAGGATAAGACGACCGGTGCATTCGTGTCCAGCGACGTCACCGATATTTGAATAGTTTCGAAAATAAAAATAATAATTTGCTAATTAATGGCGGTAGATCGTTTGTGAGCCCACACGGTTAAGTACCATCACCCTGTCTGTTTCTGCAGCCTGAAGTGGTGTTCAGCCGTGGTATTATAAAACAAAGACTTATCTTTTTCTTTTCTTAGATGGGTGGACGAGTTCACAGCCCACCTGGTGTTAAGTGGTTACTGGAGCCCATAGACATCACGCAAATGCGCCACCCACCTTGAAATATAAGTTTTAAGGTCTCAAGTATAGTTACAACGGCTGCCCCATCCTTCAAACTGAAACGCATTACTGCTTCACGGCAGAAATAGGCGGGGTGGTGGTACCCACCCTCGCGGACTCACAAGACCACCAGTATCTCAAGATGGATGGTGGCATTTACGTTATTGATGCCTATGGACACCGATAATCATTTACACAAGGTGGACCTCGCTCATCCATCTACGTAATAACTAAAAATAAGGAAACACACGCATCGAGTGAATCAAGCGAAAAAATCAGTGAAAAGCTTTTTCTAATTCCAAACGTATTCGTAAGGCGATTCATTTTTGAAGTCAGAAAACTTGAAATTCCCACACACAGTTCACGTTTTCGTTTATCCCGACTATAGTGGACATTATCGAAAACGTTTCTTCGGAAACCACCTACGTGTTGTGTATGAGAAATTAAAACTGTACAAACAAAAACCAATCTTAATCGAAAACCTTTTGGAAGTTTACTGAAGAAGAAAAAAAGGATTGTGTGGTTTTATGTAACCATGGTAAAAGTGAAACTTTTTTTCACATTATAGATTTATTTAACTCTGACAAACAACAATTACATTAAGCACTGACAAAAACAAACAAAATAGCGTGGAGCACTGGCACAAATGAGTAATAGTCTATACACTACACGGTCAGCTGCTGCTATAGGCGCCGCCATATTGGCCTTGGCTGCTCTTATGAGCGCCTTTCACTTTATCCCTACTCCGCGGCCGACCGTCACGCGACATGCAACACACAGACGAAAAAGTTTCAGACGATGTAAATTAATCCAATCGATCGCTTATTCTAAAATATCATTGAAAAATAAAATATTCTCATATTCAAAAATATAATAATATACATATATGTATAATAATTTTTTGGTCCTTCAAAATTTATAAATTTCAATCTAAGGTTAAGATTTGACATGTTCAATAAATGATGGGTAACTAGTAAATAAGTACTAGGACAATATTCAAACTTCGCTTGGAACATCGTGGAAACACCGAACGGAGGAAATGGCTTTGGATCTTGATGATAGATAATTAATTATTCTTGTTGGAACTACTAAAAAAATTTCATAAGGCGATTCGAATCTAAGTTGGCTGATTTTATTCGTAAATAGACGCATTTACAAATCTTATATCTTTAAACGACCAATTCTTGTATATAAATATACTTATATATATACTCTGAATCTCGGAAATGGGTCCAACGATTTTTATAAAATTTAGTATACAGGGGATTTGGGGGGCGATAAATCGATCTAGCTACGATTTATTTTCAGAAAATGTTGTTTTATTCGTGTTTTCAATTATCAACTTTATCGATAATTTTGATTTTATCTTTAAACCAGTTTATATATTTTTATTACTCTGTCAGTAAAATCGAAAAATATTATTCATATTTCATCATTTTATCAATATGTAAATTCGTATTTAAATATAATTTCTAAAAAACAGAATTTATAAAAAAAAAAGTCATTATCTAGTCATATATATATGATGGGCAAGTTCCATTATTTACTGGCCAATATCTAAGGTTATATTGTATGATGGATGTACTGACAACATGATAATTACAAACCCTGGCTTGTTACAAGGCTGGGCGAGCCCGGAGCACCCTTCACATACCGTGTCGGTATAGCTTCGTTTTTACGGTATAGCTTATACCATAAATGTTTCGAGTTTTTTGAGATTAATCGCTCATTATCTGCTGGTAGGACCTCTTGTGACTCCGCACGGGTAGATACCGTGACTCTGTCTATTTCTGCCGTGAAGCAGTAATGCGTTTCGGTTTGAAGGATGTGGGACAGCCGTTGCAACTATACTGAGACCTTAGAACTTATATCTCAAGGTGGGTGGCGCATTTACGTCGGAGATGTCTATGGGTCAGTAACCACTTAACACCAGGTAGGTTTTGAGCTCGTCCACCCATCAAATCAATAAAATAAAAAAATCCCCGTTGCTCCTACATGACAACGCTCGACCTTATAAGGTACAACAGACGGTCTCTAAGCTACATGAACTAATTGTTGTTGGTTCGAAGTTTTGAGTCATCCAACATACTCACCTTCTACTTTTTCCAATTTTAGTATTCGTTTTTTTCGTCACTTCTTTTAAGCCTCTTAAAGAAGGGCATACAATAGCGCTCAGGAAAACAGTTGTGTGGAACCCATTCCTTCGTGTCTATTGATTATACTGTGCTTTCCTTCACCGTCGTGCCTTCATTTGCAGTATTCACTCCGTACACGTCATTAATGTTCTGAGCCATTTATGGGGCATTGCCACCGCGATGGAAGTCGTATTCTATAATTACTGTATTTTTATGCCATCCATATTCAAGAAAAAAACAAAAAGGTAGTGAAAACAATAAACTAATCAATAAACAAATGACTGAATCAGAATTATAAAATTCATTTGAATTTAGAATTAATTGGCAGCCATACATAAATTACATTTCAAATGGGCTAATATTGTCAACGGACAACTTCACAGGTAGACTACCTATTAAATTGTATTTTTATTTATTACTGGCTGTACCCGTCCGCTTCGATGAGCATTTAAAATTAACATTATTATTTCTCACCCCCACAAAGATTATCATCATTAACGGCCCAGCAACTGGTGAAGAGAGTCCAACACTCATATAAATATCAGCCTATCCATTAAGTACATGTATTTTCTACATGGATACCAAGTTTCAAGTCAATCGGATGCATGGTTCAGTAGTTATAACAGAACATCCGTAAAAACCACTGTAGATTTATATATTAGTATAGATTTGACTTTTATATTTTTATACTTTCACAGCTGCCATTTTACGGGTCGCTCTCGTGGATTATTTATAGAATTTACCAAAATTACAGTTGGTGATAGAAAATTGACAACCTTATTCCAGGAACACAAGCGTCAAATTCTCCTTGGACCATTGAACAGATGGCCGATTGTAGCTAAAAAATCGCTCAATATCTGTCTTGTCACGTTCCCGTCTTATTTATCCCCGGGCGCTGTATTATTAGATTGATATTTATTACTTGTTTCAGGTGTACAGATAGCGTATTTCGCGATAATTGGAACGCAGATGTTCATGATCGTCTTAAGCATATTCCTGTTTTACGGGATTTATAAAGTGAGTATTGTTAATTTTTTTATAATCATAGAAAATTTTATTAATTATTTAATTATTTTAACGGCCATTATCCGCAGCGACCAATGAACTGAATAGATGCGATCTAGTGATAAATGTACTCAATAAAAGTGTTATAAAACAGCACGTTACTGTTTTAAATCATTTAATCAACCAGTCTAGCGCAATAAATAAATAAATAGATTTGTTTTGATAAAAAAAAAAAAAAGAAAAAAAAAAAAAAAGATTTATTGAGATGAGATACAAAAATAGTTTAAAAATACCGCACGCTTCTTAATATAAATATGAACGTATTTACAATACCTAGTATGTAAATAATAGTAGATATTGATAAATACCATCTCATTTTTTATTCTTTGTACTGGACTGTAATTAATTATTGGGCTCTTACAGTACATACTTAGAGTACACCAAATTCTATAACGATGATGAGTAATAATAAAAAACCTTTAAAACAAACATCAAGACAAATACGACCATTTATACACATGTAGTCAATAAAAGTCAACAAGATTCAATAAAAACTTCCTTCGTGGATCATTCATTTTAACAAGCCTTATTTTGTATACAAACACGGTACGCGGAATCAACGAAAACTCCATTGAACCTTAAACTCATTATTCAGAATCTTACAGGCAAACATCATTAATAAAAGAAAACCTCACATTAAAAAATTCAAATCGAAGTTAATATTTCGTTGAAAATACCTCAACGAGTCAAACGGATGAAAAGGCCTCCCTAATAGGACTTCCGTTTTCGCGGAACCCCAAAATGCGTACATCAAAGAACCTCAGAACCATACAACTCGAGATCCAGTGCTTAGTGGACTCCACTCGACAAGAGTGCGGAACCTATTTCGTTCCTTCTTGAAAATTCCGAAGGGTATTTAATGTGTCCCAGAAAATTCTCGTGGCGTTGTCGTGAAAAGGGAAGCGTGTGTAACATAATATATTCGTGCCTTTTGTTCGCTCAGTATTATGACACGGCCCGTAATTAAATACGGGACATGTATTTCAAATTGAATAATTCAAAGGACTGGCCTGTATTTAAATTTGTCATTGTTATTTCGGATGAGTCATAACACATATGGAAATTGTTTTCAATATTAGACTATATTATTATCACTAATTAATTGGCTTAAAACAAACTTCCTATTTTGTCTCTTGTTTGTCCGGCCAGTTCTACTAAGCCAATTTCATATCACGATTCATGAAATTTGAAGAAAACTACAAGCCTTTTCGGTGACATTAAGTAATTTAAATAACATATTAGTGGTAATCTGTATTTCTAAAATTCCAACAAGATTTTATTTAAAAAGTAATTGTGGAAGTATCAATTATTATAATGCAGGTAGAGCTCACGTGTGTAGAATTCAGTTACTTTTAGCACAATATTCCAATACAAAAGAAACAAAAGACAGAATTCGGAAAAATAATAAATCGTAATCGTGATAGTTATTAAGTATTAAATACGTCATTTTTATTCCCCCAAAAAATATATCTAAACTATGTAATATGGTACACAATAAACTATACTTTCTTGTTCATTCAAAGCTCAATGAATACAAAGACCTTATCAATCCTTTGTAACAAATTGAAGCTTTCACGTGAAACCAACACGATAATGGATCGGAAATTTCTTGTAAAAGGGTCGTTTAGTTGCGGCCCTCTAATCAGAGGTCCACTGGGAAAAACAACAATAAACGTGAACAATAGTCAGCCAATCGGAGCTTGACGGACATTCACAGAATATTTCGGGTCTCAGTGGTCCTCGTTGTCTTGAAATGAACCAAAATTATCTAAGATGATAAAGGTTGTGAAAACTAATTTTTTTATTGCTTAGATAGGTGGACGAGCTCACAGCTCGCAGCTCGCAGTGTTAAGTGGTTACTGGAGCCCATAGACATCTACAACGTAAATGCGCCGCCCACCTTGAGATATAAGTTCTTAGGTCTCAGTATAGTTACAACGGCTGCCCCACCCTTCAAACCGAAACGCATTACTGCTTCACGGCAGAAATAGGCAGGGTGGTGAACCTATCCGTGCGGTATCACAAGAGGTCCTATCACCAGTAGTTACGCAAATTATAATTTTGCGGGTTTGATTTTTATTACACGATGTTATTCCTTCACCGTGGAAGTCAATCGTGAAATTTGTCAAGTACATATTTCATTAGAAAAATTCGTACCCGCCTGCGGGATTCGAACACCGGTGCATCGCTAGGTGCGAATGCACCGGATGTCTTATCCTTTAGGCCACGACGACTACAAACAACTACAACGATGTGTCTATTGAAATTACAGATGTCTATATATTATTACACAATAACACAAAATTTATAATAGTCCACGCCCTAAAAACTTCTTTACGTATCAAATTACTAACACATTACTCTTTATTTATTTATTTTAACATTATTATGTTTGTTAAATTAGATAGGCAACGTATCTTAAATTAAACGCGAACGTTCAATATTTACCCACAATATCACAGTGTTGGACTAAGTCAAAGTAGGAATGGAAAGTCGGGATAAAGAAAACAGTTTCCCAACGTTGTCTGACATTAATGACGTCACAAATGCCTACAATTCCTCGTCCACTAACGTCAGCTGTTAACAGCTTCGAGAGCTTAAGCACGAAATAGAAAAGCTTGCTGGAGTTAGGCTACTGTGAGCTCAAGGGGGTTAAAGACAATTATAAAAAAATATCAGCTTGATTCAGATACGCATTCTGAAGAGTTTTGATCAATATAATTGTGAGTTGAATGAGATGACTCTACGTAGGTGGCAACATACACATTATAGGGCTTATAGGCTACGGTAACCAAAACACCAAATAAACCAATATCTCATTTGTTGAACTACATATGTACATATCTATCTATATACAAGAAAAAAAGATAAAATTTACGTTTCAAAACGATAAAATGTTTTCTTTTTGACAAACAAATAAAAAGTACAATATTTTTTTTACCTTTTTTTAATGTAAGGACGTCACACATATTTTAATATTTTTCAAAAGATACTTAATCATAACTGAAATGCCCAAGCATTAGTGTAATTTGATTAGGTTGAAACTTGTTAGAGGAATACAGTTTTGATTAAAGTTAAAAATATCTACTTATAAGAGAACCATTGAAAATATGACACAGGAATACAATATATTCTTAAACAGCCAATAACATTTTAAAAACATTATTGCGAGGTCACTAACCTGACTACGGGTTCCCGACCTAATTTCTGTAAAAAACGCGCAAAAGTTTATTATTTATAAACTTCTTTTTTTTAAGTAATTGGTAATATAATGTTCATTGCAGCAATAACCTGTATAAGATAAATCTTCGCTGCCGATGCTAAGCATTTTGCAAAAAAACAAAATACACTGGTTTAATAAAATTTAAATTTTAAAGAAACTTTGTTAATTAAACCTCAACTATATGTATATCATACTAAAGACTGTTTCAGGAAAACGTCGCGTTTCTGGTGCCGTGGGTGGTGGGCTGCATGACCTTCATGGCACTCGAAGCCATGGCGATGGTCTACTCGAACATACTAAGAGATCATGTTAACAAGGTGCGTGGAAACGTTTTAAATATTTAAATTAAAATACACTAGAAATAATATAAATGAATATAATGTATCATTTTATTCACATTAAAATAAAGTTTAACCCGGTAAAACTAAAGCGCAAGCTGAGTTGCTCTATAAAGAGAAACAACATTTAAAGCTATTGCTTCACCAGCTTCTATGTTTCATCTAATATATAAAATTCTCGTGTCACAAAGTTCGTTCCCATACTCCTCCGAAACCGCTTGACCGATTCTCATGAAATTTTTTATGCATATTCAGTAAGCCTGAGAATCGGCTACTATCTATTTTTTATAACCCTAAGTGATTAGGGTTGTCCACCCCTAACTTTTTTTTTTTATTTGGACATTTTTTTTTTGTTACAATGAGGTATTATGTGGTTGAATGAGGTTTTGTTATTTTTATTATATATTCATCCCTCATCGTTCACAGCACTACATACCTCTTTCACTCATTTACCACATCCTTACACACTTACAATAAGTTAGTTTTTTTTTCTACACTAGAAATTCCCTAGAAATCTTATATATGGCAAAACAATGTTTGCCGGGTCAGCTAGTATATTTCTATATTCAAAAATGTTTTAATATTTCTATTGTTTCTTCTTCTAACGTTTCTATATTCAAAATACCATTTATGTCACCTGTATAACTTATTATAACCTCTTTTAAGATTTATGTCATAAATGATGTAGAGGTTACATGAATCCTACGTACCTATCGTACCTAACATTGCGCAAAGAAATTTAGAGATGGTTTGTGATAATAGATATATATGTACACGTAATAGATATATATGTATCTAAGATCTAATGAAACTAAAATCTAATGAAGATCTAATGAACTAATTTTTTACTGGTGGTAGGACCACTTGTGAGTCCGCGCGGGTAGGTACCACCACCCCGCCTATTTCTGCCGTGAAGCAGTAATGCGTTTCGGCTTGAAGGGTGGGGCAGCCGTTGTAACTATACTGAGAACTTATATCTCAAGGTGGGTGGCGCATTTACGTTGTAGATGTCTATGGGCTCCAGTAACCACTTAACACCAGGTGGACTGTGAGGTCGTCCACCCATCTAAGCAATAAAAAAGAAAAAAACGATAATATACAACGTTAACTAATTTATTCGTGGTCTCTAGTGAATAGATACTATTGTATAACGTAGATTTTTAAATTAAAAAGACGATCTAAAGTCCCGTAACGTAAACATTACCAATTACTTTATAATTCCATATCGGTAATATAATAGGGTATTATAAGGATGGTAAATCTCAACGGGGTTTAAAATATTATCATTAAAAAAAAAGGAAAAAATGATCACATATACCTATAATAGTTATAATGAGCCTGAATATCTATTTAATTGGCAGATCAATACTAACCAATCATTATACACTGATGAAAATACACGCAATTATAAGTGGACAAATACTTTATTGGAATATTATTATACGTTCAGATATACAAACATATAAAAAGATGGTTTTAAAAACTTCACAATATTAATTATTAAAACTAGACTACTAAACTACTTTACTGGTGGTAGGACCACTTGTGAGTCCGCGCGGGTAGGTACCACCGCCCTGCCTATTTATGCCGTGAAGCAGTAATGCGTTTCGGTTTGAAGGTTGGGGCAGCCGTTGTAACTATACTGAGACTTTAGAACTTATATCTCAAGGTGGGTGGCGCATCTACGTTGTAGATGTCTATGGGCTCAAGTAACCACTTAACACCAGGTGGGCTGTGAGCTCGTCTACCCAAAGACTTGATTGGACTGTATTGAATAATTTAACTAGTGCTGCTTCTCTGAATTGTTTGTCTGTGATATCTCGAATAATACTCAAATCTATACCATTCATGTTTGATGTATTGAATTGAATACTTGTAGGTGTATAATTGGAAGCAACAATCAACAGTTGCTGTATGCGATGTGTGTTTAACAAACAGTAGAACAATGGCTCTCGTACGATGGCAATTTCCGTATTACAATGCACGCATTGTCTCATCCAATCCATATTTGAATTGTACTCCAGTGCTATTATATGAATGCGTATATCTGTATTTGTATCTGTGAGAAATTTTATATTTTATTTATTGTTTTAAATGTCGGAGAAGCCACCTTTATTAACACCATCGTCAGGCATCGTAGGGGCGAATAGGGTGATCGATCTAAGAGAAATATTGAGTACACCAATCACGTTTGTGATCTTAGAACAATTTAGAAGGTTGTGATAGCTACCCATGCGAACTCACAAATACCCGACCACTAGTGTGTATATTATTTCTAAAATCTCATAGTAATAATATCCGTTTCAATAACCATTGTAAACTTTATTATCGGTATAATTCTGGACTAAGCGTTAATAAATCAAAAAATATTAAACGTAAAAACAGTTTTTATAAAAGGGCCAAACATTCTGAAAACCATACTTGCGTCTGTATTTCGATATTCTGTGAGGACGGTGATGCCGGATTAAGATCAGTAACCGAAATTAAAATATAATAATCTTGATCATGTTACTAAGCAGATACTGGACTTAGAAATCACAAAGTGAATACCGCTGCCCGCGTTATCATAAAATTAAAATCTCAATCGCATTCTTCCAACCGAAACGCATGATTGCTTAGATGCTGGATAAAGCTCCGCGCGGTCGTGAAAAGTATAAAAAAGTTGAAGCTCATTTGCAACGCGACTAAAGAAAACGCTGTGTATTCTAGAAAGCTTCCCCTCAAAACTCAAACAAAAGAATTGTTCGGAGCGTTGAACAAAAAAGGTTATTTAAATCGGACCCGCTCGTCGCTAAGCAACAAAACACGACAAAGAGATTATATTCTTCTCTTTTTTGTACAAAATTCGAATGGAACCTCAAAGCAATAGTTTCAACATCAGTACATGTTACATTATACATGTCTAAGTAAATAGAGATGACCAGCGAAATACGTACAAACGAGCAGCCAGTCCCCTCTGGCGGTCATCCAAAAGTGCCCAGACAAAAACATTCATGTAAATGATAACCTATACAAATACTATACCGTAATGCTCTTGAATATATAACGATGCTTGGAATTTATTGTGGTTTTTGGAGACCTTGGTCGTCTTAATAAACGTTGTATTCGAATATTCTTTAGTAACTTTTCACCGAAAGCTTTGCCTTTTTTTTAGCTTAGCTTTTATTAGCTTCAGACGTATGTATGTATGTTTGTAACGGAGTCTTTGAACATGATTTTGAGCCCCTTTAAAACGTCGGATATTGGTATACTTATTAAGGACCGAAGACAAATCAATATTTAACTAAAAACTGAAAAATAAATAAAAAGTTAAAAAAAACTAACAAAATACGCTTTTATAGAAAATCTAACTAAAAATAGAAAATAAATTTTAATAAATTTGAATTAAAAATAGTGTAAGAAAAAAATATTTTATTGTAAAAAGCGGGGGGTGCTTTTCAGGATATTATCAAAATAACCCATCTACTCATCTCTGTTCATAAAATATTTATAACTACTTATACCATGCACTTTTTTTTATTGCTTAGATATGTGGACGAGCTCACAGCGCACCTGATGTTAAGTGGTTACTGAAGCCTATAAACATCTACGACGTAAATGCGCTACTCACCTTGAGATATAAGTTCTAAGGTCTCAGTATAGTTACAACGGCTGCCCCACCCTTCAAACCGAAACGCATTACTGCTTCACGGCAGAAATAAGCAGGGTGGTGGTGGCGCTACCCGCGCGGACTCACAAGAAGTCCTACCACCAGTAAAAAGTGGATTACACTCTACATCGCGTGGGCTTAGACCCATGCACAGCAGTGGGATGAAAGGTAACCTTTATTCTTTCCCAGAGTTCAAACTACGTATTTCCAAATTGAATTTTGTGCCTACCAGCTCAGTAATTTCCGTGTAAAAACTTAACAAATCGCGTTACTTTGGTATTTTATAATATTATTTGCTATGTAACTTCTAAAGTCTAATTAATATTAAAAAAGCAAACCCCAAAAGTATTAATGTAATATTAATGAATTCATTTTGCGTACTTTCTCACTACTTTGTCTGAAGAAGTAGTCATAAAATTAATATGGACATATTTCCAGTAAAAATGTCTGCTACATAATTGAAAAATATGAAATTGAATCTTGGTAAGGGCATCATTATCCAAACAGCATCATTAAATTAAGAACAGTAGTTGTGACGATAAAATTTCATAACGAAACTAATTTCGCTGAGGAATAATCAACTTAATTGCATGAAATCAATATTCTCATTCTCAACCAGTAATTTATTTATTTTTTAATGGGAAAAAAGTGAATAGAATCCATCGGGTACTATACAAATAAAATTAATCCTGAAATTACAAAAACCAAGTGGCTATGAAATAAAATTTAATACTTAATTTGAAATTGAATCAACAATGAAACCTACAAATAGCAGTTGTACACTGGTATTGAAGTGAAAATTTCTTTAGCCGCGTTAAGCATTTTTTGTTCGTCGAAAATCTTATGGGTTCTCGTCACCGACATGCTTTTTTACAGTACAATACAGTTTTTGTTTATATTTATACATATGTATGTTTGTATGTATGTATGTACATTCGTTTGGAACTTAATATAAATAATGTACACTGTGCAAATAAATAACAATGTTAGGCCTGATTTAATATAATTTCATTCTTCAAGCTTCCAAAATACTATATAATTAAATTTTAGATTTTTATCCATCGAGACTACTGGTTGGGGCTTTGTTAAAATTGGATGCCAAAATTTCCATAATAACGCCTGAATGGCGCCAAAATTAATGCTATTATCATAATAATACTAAAAGTGTACACTTCGTCATTGAAGAACGTAAAATATTATAATATCATTCGGCGTTCTGTTTTTAGCAAATTTTGATATTATGATTCTGTATTTTGGTTTTTTAATTGGACACATTTTTCATTCATAGTATTCGATAATGCTTTGCATGCCATTATGAAACCATTTAAAA